AGAGAGAGAGAGCGAGAGAGAGAGAGAGAATGAGAGAATCCCAAACAGGCTCTGTGCTGTTGGTGCAGAGCCTGACTTGGGGCTTGAACTCACGAACTGTAAGATCATGACCTGAGCTGAGATCAAGAGTCGGATGCTTGACCGACTGCACCACCCGGGTGCCCTGAGACCAGGAGGAATTCTGATCCCCCGGCAGGACAGAGTATATAGGGCTTCACCCCTGGTCTTGGGGTAGTGCTGCTGGGTCCCCTTGGAGTTGGATTCAAAGGGCCGAGACGGGGGACGTTTGCCAGAGGGAGCAGCCTGGAATGTCTCATTGAGAGAGAGTGAGAGAGAGTACTTGGAGGCAATGCTTTCTTTTTGTTTAAATAAAAAAAAAAGTTGTCATTCTTCAAAGCTTGACAAATTGCAAAATGCTTCCACCAAGCATCCCCTTTCCTTCCTGTACCCGAGTTGGCTTTTTTTTTGAAATGCGATGAACTTGCCATGAGAGTGTTTACAGTAGGAGTAAAGGCATGTGCTGAACATGAACGTGTGTGACGTTTACAGATGGCCCTGATTGCTTTGAATCTTGCAGATCCTGAAAACAAGCACATTTACGTATATACTGATCCTGTGTCCGTGTTTAGGTGCCTGTGTGTGAACGGAAAGGGCATATCCATGTCTCTGCACACGTGTGATGCCCTTGCACACTGACCCGTGCACAACAGGGCCCCCTGACCCCACAAAATGGCTATGGATGAACAACTGTTGCCCAGACCCCTGACCCCTGAGGCCCCAGATTAAGAAAGTAAAGAAAGAAAAATTGAGTGTTTCAAAATCTATTTAAAAATAAACATCCTGGGATGCCTGGTTGGCTTAGTTGCTTAAGCGTCCGACTTCGGCTCAGGTCATGATCTCACAGTTCATGGGTTCGAGCCCCGCGTCGGGCTCTGTGCTGACAGCTGGGAGCCCAGAGCCTGCTTCGGATTCTGTGTCTCCCTCTCTCTCTGCCCCTCCCCTGCTTGTGTTCTGTCTGTCTGTCTGTCTCTCTCTCTCACAAAACCAAATAAACATTAAAAAGTTTTTTCTTTTTAAGTAAACATCCTGGTGGGCTGGTGGAGTCCGTGTGCGGCCAGGCTTGGGAATGAGAGCGTTCATTCACTTGAGTGAATGCAGCCCTGAAAATACGCACGTTGGCCTTCTGTGCAAGCACCTCGTCTGCTGAGCCGGCCAGCTTGCAAGTGCCCGCATGAACCGACTGTGTCCGACTGCGATGAATGCAGTCTTTTGTGTGCTTTCCTTTGGCTTAGAGGGGTCTTTGTGTTTCCCAATTTAGTGGACTCAGCTCATTGCTTCCCCCTCTGCTGGACTGTTCTTGAATCTCAGAGCGCTGAACTTCTGTGTTTCCCCAGTGGGGGCTGGAGGTTGGGGGGAGAAGGGTGTGTGTGTGTGTGTGGAGAGGTTGCTGTCCCCTTGATCCTGAGCCCTGCAGCCCCAGGCCTTGGTGACAGCCTCCGGGGGCCCTGCTCTCTGGTCTTACACAAGTTGTGGGACCTCTGGCATCTTTGAAACTTAAACAACAGTTAAGGAGCTGTGTCGTGGGTGGCATGGGGGGCGGTCTCTGAGAAAGGAAGGTGGATTCCAGCCTGTGGAGAGGATCACCTGCCAAAAATTTGCCTTCCCGTAAGTTTTTTGTTTGTTTGTTTTAATTCTGAATGCACTTCCAAAGCCCCGCCGGTTATCAACATTGAAACACTGGGCTCGGTCCTGGGACTGGATGGGTGGTTCGGCCTCCTGTCCGCCCCGCAGCTGCCCCTGGCGTGTGTGCAGTGGGGAGTCCCCGCGGCCAGTCGGACACCTCTCGGAATGGGGGGGAGGGACCCAAAGGAAACGCGGGCACAGGTGCCATTTCTCTGACAGAGGCCCCGTTCCCGCCCCTCACACACCGCGCACCCAGAGGTGAGCGCCACGGAGCACCGGGTAAACACCACGTGCTGCTGGGTACACTCAGGGAGGTCGTGGGTTACGAGACCTGAGGAGGGCCAGACGTCTCTCGCCCCCCGTCCCCCTGTTCCTGGCTGCCACCTGAGCCCCCAGGTTAGGGTGTGTCCCCGAGGGACAGAGGCCCTGACCAAACCACTGTTTAGGCAAAGAAACAGAGTCTTTGGTTTAAATACCATCACGTGTCAGCGTGTGACTGCACACGTGTGGCGTGGACTAGCGCCTCGGATGGCTAGCGCCTGCACATATGGCTAGGTAGGCCTACGTTGAGGGATTCGTCGCTTTTTCAGCGTTTATTACGTGCCATGCCTTCGTGTGTGCTTCTGTAAGGGAGCGAATGTATAGAAAACCCAGAAGCCAGGGAAGTAAGAATTCAATAGTGGGGAGAAAAGGGAGAGTTTCCTTTCAGATGCTCCCGGGCCCAGCGTGCGCTCCAGTGGGTTTGTGGGTGAGTTCTGTGTGCCCACGGGTGCAGGTGGTCTCATACTAGGCAGATGGGCGGTCTGACCAGGCATTGGAGGACCTTGACATTGGGTGACTGTGTAGTCAGAGTATCACTGAGCTTGTGCGGTTGCTTTTAGTGTTTGCTTTTCATCCCTTCTCTGCAAAAGCCCATCAGTGGACTGGATCATAAGCAGCCCAGAGCAGCGCCTCCCCAGATGCTGGGGGGGGGGGGGCGGGTAGTGGACCCCTGGGAAAGCAGGGGGAGGGTGTCAGAACCACCCCGAGGACCCCTGTCTGATGTGTGTCGTTCAGGACCTTCTGGAGATCCCTCACTTCTGTGTTTCTAGGGCAGAGCCCTTGCTGAAGTCCTGCGTGCGGGTCTCCGATGCCTCCTCTCTGGGGTCCCGGGGCCCCCTCCTGTGCACACAGGAGGAGCTTTTAGTCCTAAGACGTATCCTGCTGATACCCCAGTTGTTGGGTGTCGGGCTCAGCTTCATTGGGTGAACCCCAGGCGGGCGGGGTGCTCATCCGGGCCTGGTGAGGACCTGATTCCAGTGGGTGCCGTCTGAGCCGAGCACGTGGAGGGAGGGCAGCCGGGCCGTGCGTGTGGGGCAGCACAGTAGACAGGCCGTATCTGCATTTGATCTGTGACCTTACCGACCTGGGGGTGAGCCTGCCGGCGCCCAGCGAGGTGAGGGTGAGCTCGGGAGTGTCCTCCCGCTGACCCAGGTCGGGCTTGCAAGGTGGGGGTCAGCAGTTTCAGGAGACAATCTCCTGACTTTTCATCGGTTGACTTGCTGCTACTCACAGCACAGCCATGAGACCAGCTTCATCCCTGTTGGGAGCCCCAAGCAAAGAGGAGAAGGAGGCAGGGCAGACACATCTCCAAGAGGTTCTAAAATGTCTGTAGACTCCCGCCCACGCCGAGAGCCCAGGTCAGGGAAGAGTTGCACCAAAGCCACACGGTAGTGGCATTTTCAGAAAGCTTGTGCTGCTTCCCCTCTGCACCACCCCCCCCCAACGCCCCAACGGCTGCCCCATACTTGTCAGGCCTGCGGTGGCGTCTGCCGGGCACCACGGGAAGGACCCACCCCGAGGAGTGCCTTCCTGGGCCCAGCCGCACGACGTGATCCTTCCTTTCTGTTCAGGCAGAGTTGACCACGGGAAGGGCCCGTCCATCCGCCGGCCGAGGCTGCCCTGTGCCATGGTCAGGCATTTCCGACATATCCTTTGCTCTCCCTTAGGCACATAAACAATCCGCAGGAAGTGCCCTGCCTGGACCTCGAGGACAGCGATCCGGGGATCTTCCTGGCCAGTAACAGAGAGGTGGCCCTGGGGGTCCTAGTGAGGGGCGCGGGCCTGCTGGCTTTCACCGGGGTGATGAGTGCATCAGAGGGCCAGGCAGGCAGTGGCTGGAAGCTCCCCTGTGTGTGTGCACCCGGGGCCATTGCAGTGCTCTGGAGGCCCCGCTGGGACGAGAGCAAGAAACAGGTGTCCTGGGAGGGACCTCGTGCTCTGAGGGGGCCTTGGGGCCTTGGGGGAAGCCAGGCCGCAGGGGGATGGAGCACATACCTCCGTGTGACTGAGTGCGATGGTGTTCCAAGTCATGTAAAAATGCAGGGTCATTCGAAATGGGCTTTGAAGAGTGTATAGGAGTTCTTCACCAGTTTGTTTGTGGGGGTGGTAGTGTGGCTTTTCAGATAGAGGGAAGGACAGGAGCAGAGAAGAGGGAGGAGAGGGACCTAATGTTCAGGCCCGCCAGCAGCCTGCTGGGGAAATAGGCTGGCAGCCAGGGGACCCAGCTAAGAGCTGGAAAGACATGGTAAGGTG